TTTTGTCGATAATTAGTGATAATTAGTGATTGAAAGTTAGTAGCACGATGAAGCTACTGGTATGAAGTAGTTATGTACTTATATCGAATTTACAATTTTTTTAATATTACAGAAATTTCGAAATTCCGAGTCACATATGTAAAATTGAAATAGAAACAACATTTTCAAGTAAACTTTTTCGATACTCGAACAAATTTAATAAGCCTACTTTCAGCGATTAATTTGAAAAAATGTCACTTTTGACATGTAGCGAAAGTCAGGTGACCCCGATAGAGTAGGCCATTTTTCATCTTTTTTGAAGCAAAACCTGACGTCCAACTCGAATTTCAAAATAAGTCATTAATAAAAGTTTTTCCCATATGATGCTGACTTTATGAATGACACTGTATATACATTTCTTAATTAGAGTAAGTTTTTGTATCCATATTCAAATTTTTTTAACAATTCGGTAATTTTGTGATTATTATACTACGGTTCCTAGCTGCAAGGGGTGATTTGTTAGGTTATTTTGAGAAGAACAGTTCCTCTGAACATATGTCCGGAGATGCTTTGTTTCTGAGATACAGGGCGTTGAAATTAATGAAAAAAACGGTAATTATAAAATATCATCAATATCCTGGAACCGATATGGTTGAAATTTGGTACTTTTATTTGAACTGATAAGGCGCTTATTGAGCCCTATTTAGATTGAAATTATTGGAACCAGTGGCGCCTCAGTGGGCCCCACAGCCAATAATATTGTAAAAAAATGTACGCCACTGACTTTTTTGGGCTATTTTTATATTTTTCACATTGAGCAACTCAAAATACAACTTTTGGGTCTCCTTTATTTTCATCATATCTATCTTCGTTTTCGAGAAAAAAAAAACATAAAATAAAGACCAAAAATAAAAATATTAACAATTGCGATATGACAGTAAATGAGATAAATGTCCACCTTCTGATAAAATACACGACCGCATCTGCCATTGATGGTCGTTAAAAAATTCCTGGAGTACCAAATCGGTTACAGGATATTCATGATATTTTATAATTAATTCTTTGTTCCTCTGATTTCAACGCCCTGTATCTCAGAAACGAAGCAACTCCGGACATATATTAATAGGGACTCTTCTTCCTAAAATGACCTAACGAATCACCACCTGCAGTTATATGCGATGTTTTTCCTTTGAATTTCTTTTGCTATTAACGTATTTTTGTCAGGAAACAACACGAATTTCATGAGGAAAATGTGAATAAACTGATATTTATCGAGATATTTCACGAGAAAATTCGAAATTTCACATAAATTTCTGCCTGCCCTGGATACGCATTTATACAGCTATTTTTCCTATTTTTCCCATCACATATAAAATGGTTTGATTACATTCTCATTATTTTAAAATTCATGTTTTCATGATGAGAATACCAAAGTAGTGAGAAAATATTAAAAAAAAACATCGACATCATGATTACTGCGAAATACCTACTGTAGGTATGCTGAATATTGTGATACATGTTTCGTAGGTATAGTCGTATTGAAAAAAAAGCGTACAAGAATATTACAGAGAGAAATTAACGTCATCCTATTTTGCATAAAACGGTCTATCTGGTATGATTGTTCACCAAATGTTGACAGTGAAGTTGTCATAGGTACTAGCATTGACTGAGCCAGTTTAACACAACTAGAACTATAGGATCCCGAAATCCTCTCTTCTTAATACTTGTACGCTTTTTTATTGAATACGACTGTACGTTCATATGTTCAACATTCAAATTGTGAACAGCATGTCGCCATATTGAAATGAAATTAGAAAAAACATTTTTCAGTTATAGAATATCGAGTGATGTAAGGAAAGTAGGAATCTTATAATGCACTCTTTTTCAGTCCAATAAGATTCCAACTTTATAAGAACTAAACAGTTTTTATTTTGCATTGGCTTTGAGAATGTCTTCGCGCACAGCTCCTTTGTTTGACATCTATTTTTTTCTTTCAGTTCGCTGTTGTCTTTGCCGCCATCCTGGCCCTAGCAGTAGCAGCTCCCAAGCCAGGTGGCCTCATTGCCTCAGCGCCTCTTATAGCCTCATCTCCCATTGCCTACTCTGCCTACCAAGCCCCCCTGTCGTACGCCTCTACCTACTCTGCGCCCCTGACCTACAACGCCTACAACGCCTATGCCTACCCAGGTGCCTACGCCGCAGCTCCTATCGCCTACTACTGATACTCTAGATTTTTGACACGGATTGTACTTACTGAAATGCCTTTTGGAAATGGACTATAACGAAATTCGCAGTTTGAGAAATAAATGGACATAAATTATTATTTCAGGACTTTCATTCAGTATTTTTTTAATATTTGCGTTAAACAATGATGATTGATGATTTCATCGATAATACTTACAGAATATGGAAAACAGAAAAACACGTCTCTATATGTATAATATAGTGTCAATATAAGATGCATCATTGTTGTTTCGGAAAAAGAAGAAGAAATTGATGTACACGAATATATAATATACTAAATAATAATAATAATAATCTATATATAATTCAAAATATGCTTAATATAGTATAATCACTATCCTATTTTCAAGAAAAACGTTTTACTTGAAGACGCTATGGCTTTGTTATTAGTCGCGCGGGATCTGTGAGATCCACTGGTTTCATATTTAGCCGAATGGCGCTAGTCATTTGGAGTAGGAGAATATCCGTTACAGTATCCTCCTACCTTAACAGGCGTCACACTTTAGTGTTGGTTTGACTTCTCGAGTGGTGTCATTCACTGCCGTAGATACCTAATGGATCTATGAGATTCACAGCGACCAAATTTGTAAGGATTTTTGATTTATTTGATTTGCATTATTATTGAATTTTATTGTACATCTACAGCAGTGTATTACTGTTCCTTTACGTGTACTGGTGGCTGTGAAAAAGAACAGGCAGTCGATTCTGACGAGGAGGACGACTGACTAATTTTTTCCTCAGTTCTAATTACCTTCTAACTTTGAAAATGCTAGAATTAATTTTTTATAATTTTTTGTTTGTTTCTATTTTTTTCAATAAACACCTGTATTAAAAATGAAGTTTATTGATCTTAATCCACCAAATGAATAAGATAGGCCTTGATATTTTTCAAAATTATCATTGTTTCCACATTCGGATTCTCAGATCCATAGCGACTATCCATGTTCCTTTTAGGGGTGCGCCTAACCGAGTGTTAACTACTTTGAGGGTATGTAGATAGGACAAGTCGAGAGAAGACAGTGAAGACATACTAGTTTTGATCATAAACTTTGGAATTTCTACCAACAAACTATTGCAGTTTGAGGGGACAATTTCATTTAAGAAAAAACATCTACTCAAGAGCGTCGCCAGCCGGAAAGGTAAAGGGGGGGGGGGGGGAGAAAAATAAAAAAACTAAAGAGGAAAATCAAATAAGAAAAGTTTAATGAGAAAAATTGAAAAACGGAATGAATCTATATAGAAAATCAATTGGACACTAATATTCTAGGGTTCTTTGTGAATTCGTTGGTCACTTTTTTGACGAAATCGTGAAACAAAGCAAACATTTTCAGTTACACGTAGAATAATTGTAGCTGTTATAATGGCTTGTTCATGTTCATACTCGTATTAAATGATTCATATACTTCGTGAAGTAGTACAGCAAAATATTACTCTGATCTAAATAATCTTATTATAGATACTGTCTGTGGTACATTCATTATTCCAGATTTTTTTGGGATTTTCTCTCCTCGTTTCTATAAAATAAAAATATGAATACTTTTTCAATATACGTGTAGTTAGGACTAATCAGATGATTTGCCCCAAAATGTCTCCGCGTTTAAAGAACTTTTCTATCAGAGAGTCTAAAAGAAATATTCACTAGCTTGTCAGTGACAATTTGTATTGAAAAAGGTTTGGAGAAGAGAAAAAAAATTATCACTTATAATATCACGAGAGCTTTTCGAGAACATGAGTATTTTGAAATTTTTTTAGAATTTTCTAAAAATTCGTGTTCGAGAAAAAAAATTCCCAGATATTAATTGAAACTAAAGTGGTATTCGGTAAGGAAATTTCGGAGGAAATTTCACACTGAAATATCATTGAAAAATCACTTGAATAATGACGAATTTTTGATGGTTTTGACATTATTTGAATAGTAGGCTTTATATTTCGTGATTTCAACTCAAAAGAATAATATATTTTTTTTGATGACGTATGTCAATCTTCATGTCAAAACTGAAGCTATACCTATACTACCTACCTACCTATACCTATAATATCATAGTGTTTATATGAAAATGATGGTCGTTTGTGATGTAATTTAAGAACTAACATGTGTTTCTGTAAATTTCGAATTTGCAAGTATACCTACATAATATTACATCGTAAACTGTTGATAAATGATTTTGATTTATTGGCTCATGGAATGAACTCGAAATAATCTGAAGTTGAATGTAAATGTCATTTAACCTATGAACATCAAAAAATTTCCAGTGTGATTTCATGCTCCGTCCACCAAGGAGGACAAAATTTCCAAGAAATTTGTTCAGTTGCTATGGTAACGATACGAAATACAAGATTTAAATTGATCGAAAATGTTTGGTGTTAAATTTTCGCTGTAATTTGCAAGTGACAAATTAGCAGTATGATACCAAATGATTGGCAAGAATTGAGCATCAAATTCAGTTGAAGCAAAGAAAACGTCACATTTTGACATGTGAAAAAGTTATCTCGAATATTCAGAACTTCGTGATATTATTGTTGAATATTTTCTAAATGACGTCGCTTGTCAGCTCTTGAGAGGTTCAATAACAACCTGCAGGACATAAGGATTCATCCCATCTTAGTTGATCCATCATTTACGCAGCATTTTCGTATTTTTAAGTTCTCAGAATGCTGGTTTTGAATTTGGGTACCTATTTATGCCAAATGGAGAGCTATAGATTCAATAGATTCTTGGGAATATTCTTTATTATCACACAAATAAATACCAATATCACAAAAAATCAATCAATCAATCAGACTAAAACGTAGGGTGCAGTGTATGGAGAATATGCGGGATATCCAGCAGCATAGATAGAGGGCGACACATAACTAGCATAGGCCAAAGGAGCAGAATAGGCTGAAGTGTAGGCCACTGCTGGAGCAGCCGCTACAAGTGGAGCAGTGTAGGCTGCAGCGATCAGGCTCGGATCAGCTTTGGGGTCTGCTTTAGGCTCGGCCTTGGGTTCAGGAGCTGGAGCTGCACAAGCAACTGCGAAGATGATGGCGAAGATGCACTGTAATAAATTGATTGTTGAATACCTACATGTCGATATGATGCAAATAGCAGGATCAATCTCAATAAATGCTTAATTGATACGAACATTTATTTCTTATTTGGATGGAAGCCAATGATCGATATGAATCCATCAAAGATACAAACATGAACGTGTTCTTCTCAAACATATGTTTTTCCATTGTGTATTCCTATATGACTATTCCACTCATCACATAAGCTGACCAATCACAAGCCAGAAACACGTGTTCTTATATCGTGAAAACATAAGCTGTCTTTCAATTCTGATTGGTCCATATTAGCGTTGATGTTTTCAACGGAGTAATCATGGAAAGTGAAGCAAAGTCTGTCAGTTTGGTGTATGATAATTATGTCTGAACTTGTCAGAATGGATCACTCATTTATAATGAATGCTTCCTATGTTTCGTGAACGTGAAATAGTCTAGCAAAATACCACTCTGTTCAGAATATCTTCTCATAATTCTTTCATTGTTAACACACAGCCATACAGCAATACCATTGAGTGTACAATGAAGCGACAGAATCATCAGAAATGATATTCAGAACATCTTGATATTGCTTTTGGGTGTATGATAAATTGAAATCCATCATACAGGGCGTGAAAGAAAATTCTGAATTGAGACTCTATCACGAATCTGCGATTAGAGGTCTAAAAAAATCACAAGTTTCCATCGTTCAAGTTTGAACCCCCTGATTGGTTATGGAAGTGTTGAAAAGGAATATTCTCAGATAAATTATGGACATACAAAAATGGACATATATCGCATTCTCTATGTATGTCCATAATTCATCTGAGAATATTCCTTTTCAACATCTTGATATTGTTATGATTATTTGATCCCTATAGCTGTTTTTCATCGTTCATCTTTCTGACACCATAATATATGTGACTTGAATTGCCAGGGTTGAAATTAAAGAAAAAAATTAAAACTTTGCGAAACAACTTTTTTTTATCTGCTGAATCCACACAGTTATTAGATCAGGAAATATCTCATAAATGACTACCTATTATGCTTACCAGTTTGAACATTTTGATTTGTTAGATGGTGATTAGATGAATACACACTGAATGGTGCTTCTCTGGGAAATCGTTCAACTTTATATTGTAAAATAAACTTGAGGTCATCTTCAACAACATGCATCTTTTACGGTGGGGTTGAATTTTGAAACAATTGGGGCCAGGACAATACAAGAATATAGATTTTGATGAAGTAATTGAAATGCTAGACATGAGATGTTGAGCAATTTGGTATGTGTGATTAATACCTACTAAATGATTCGATTATATTCTGATAAGTTATGGCACAGAATTCGAACTCATAAAAAAATGTAGTGGAAACTTCTATTTTTTTTTGTGAATAATGTTCACATATAGATCAAAATCAAGTTCATTCAAAAATCTAAGAATGAGTGTGGTCGAAAATTCAATTTTGTTATTACTTCATGTATCTATACTGAAATCATATTGTGTATTGCATTTTCATGACGAAAAATGTGTTCAAACGTATACAGGGTGTCCAGGTTCAACTCATCTAACTTTGACAATCGTTAGCAATTGTCAAAATATTATACACGCATTTTTTTGTTTTGTCGTGGAGAAATTTGTTTTCATTATACGGGGTCTTGCATAAATACGCATACATTTTTTGTTTTTATTTTTTATCTCTGTTGACACAAAACCTAGCGAATTGAAATTGGTCTAGCACTTTCTATCGGCAATATGAACCTGTTCTTATCAATACTGGGGACTGAGCTACAGCTTCCAGAAATTATTGATATCACTGATGTTGACGGATAAATCTCTCACAAACATCAGGTTACATGACTTTATTGTAACCTGAAGTCAAATCATTTTTCCAGCTATTCTTCGTATGAAATATACAATTTTCATCTCTATACTGTCATGCACTATAACTCAAACTATAACAAACTAATTTTTGAGTAATTATTTTTGACATACTTCTGTCATCTAGCTTAGTTTTTTGTCCGTTGTTCGATGAATTGATGTTCATCATACAGGTCGTGGAAAAAATTCTGAATTGAGATAACCCAATCACAAAAATCACGAAAAGCCAATCTGAATCGGTGGAAGCAAATTTCTATCTTTCAACTTTGAACCCCTTGATTGGGTATGGATGCTCTGGGAAGAAATCTTCTCAGATATACCGGGTGTAACACGATCATGGTATACATCCCATTTTTCTCCCCTAGTCTCAGAGTTTAGTTTGGAATGGCCCATATACTTGATAAATATCATGTTTTGATATATATATGTTTCATTCTTTACTTCCAGTTTCAATTTTGATTATCAAAAGGGACACCCAGTATTCGGCATGATTTTCTGAATCCAAAGATCCCACATAGGTGACATTTCAAACTTCGATATCGATTTTTATTTCATTTAGGATTTTCCATCTGAGTGCGAGACATGACTATTCTGATCAAGTCTGATGTACTCATATCGACAGGTGTAATGCTAACACAAATTGAATTCTTTCAAAAATGTCAAATTTCTTGATTCATCACGAAATTAAGTTCATTAAAATGTTATCATGAACACCTGCTATTATGAACATGAGGAAAACTTGATTCACACAAAGAAATACATTGAAAATTCGCATTTTCTTATTTGAAAAAAAGAATTCTATTTGGGTATATTCAATAGATGTGATTCAATGTTTGGCGAGGCAAATAGCCACGAAAATGAAAAAGAGCTCGTGAACATTAGTCAATAGTTGACTCAACAAGGAACCTTATTCAACTTGAGTCAACCCTGCTCCTTATAACCGTGATCGAAAATTTCAGATTGTTTGTCTTTTGCTGTATGGGCATAAAGACTTCAGTCCCTATCTATTCTAAATTTGATCATCATCCGACGGAAAATATCATGAACTCTATGATGCATTCATTCATTACCATTCAAAACATATCTGAAAATGCACGCTTCATCATCAAATGTAATATATCGTATATAGCACGACCATTATTATGAAATATCTCCACCGAACACTGAATTTTGAACACTCGTTTGTTATTCTGCCATTGAACCATCATCCATACCACTGAAACTATAGCCATGTCAACTTGATATAAATTGAGGATGGAATATTAGAATGGCATCAGTTGATTAACAACAGCAAACAACAGCCATCATTCAAAATGTTCAAATTGGTAAGCCAGAACTAATGTTTTAATCCATTCATCTTTCCATCTATTTGTTTTGTATACCTACCCATTATTATAAATGAATACTTCACCTCTTACGCAGTTTTTCACAGATCATTTTATTGAGAATCGCGAAATCTTTGAAAGTATCAATTTCATTTTTTTGGTCATCATGTATCGAAGACCTACAATATAAATAAGGTTAATATTATATCAAGGGAAAATAGAAATAACCAATATTCTTGCCCAGCTTTCATTATTTGTAGTTTGAATTGAAGATGACATTGATTTTCCTGGATGTGACGAATTTATATTTCTTTTTCAGTATTTTAGGTCACAAGAGTAATTTATAAAATATTTCAAAGAAAATAACAACAATCTTGTCTTGGTTTCGTGAATATGTATAATATTTCAATTTTCGATTATATTTAACCCGACAATTAATGAAAAAACTGTAGATGATAATTTATTACGGAATAATTGAAATAGTGCCAGAAACTGATTCAACAAGTTCGTATAGTATTCTATCCGTAGATTTTTAATCTGAGCTCAGATTTTTGATAATTATTAAACACAATATCTAAACAGAAGGAAAACAATCATATTCTCGTCCTGATATTGGTTTCGATCGAACGGGCTGCTTGTTGAAGCTCTTCAGTTTAATTCATGATTCATGTACAAAATATGAATCCAATTGGGTAATTTCTGTATTAAATATGGCGGATTGATTTTTGTGTCAAAATCCACAAATCACAAGTCAGTAACGAGGCGGTTTCGGACACTTGTATATATATGGCATTTTGCAATCATATTGGCAGGCCCTATAACCCCATGAGTTTTGTCGGTTTCATCTCTGAACACACTGAATACGTAATTTGCAATTGCACCTGGTTATGGTTCTCATGAATAGCTGTCAAATAAAACTATGTTCTTTCATTTGTAGTGTATTTTCGCCGCAATCTTCGCCGTCACCTTCGCTGCTCCAGCTGCTGAACCCGTACCTGATGCAAAAGCTGATCCCAAAGCTGATCCGAGCCTGATTGCTGCAGCCTATACCGCTCCACTAGTAGCTGCTGCTCCAGCAGTAGCCTATACTTCAGCCTATTCTGCTCCCTTGGCCTATGCTAGTTATGTGTCGCCATCTGTCTATGCTGCTGGATATCCTGCGTATTCACCTTACACTGCACCCTACGTCATAGTGTAGCGTGGTTGTTGTTGTTCTGGACATTTCTGGTTATTGATTATGTATTTATGAGAATAAAAATGTTATTTCGAGGAATGGAGTATTTGTTTTGCCGTGGAATTTTCTGGAAGAGGAAAAGTCTGTAGAACAGGAGAATGAGAAATGTGGAAAATACGACGATAACATTAATCAATTCTAAATTAGCTGAAAATACAATGATTGTTTGTTACTCTCAGAATGAGGAAGTTTTCTATGTTCAGATCTATAGTTCTTCGTGAGAAATTCTGATGGTTACTTGGCCTCTCTGGCTCCTTATTCACCATTTCAGTGAAGTCATTGGTGAATTGCCAAATTCACACAGAGCTAAAATGTAACTACTGTAGCGCTACTTGTAATATTTTTGATTCAATTTTGAATTGGCCGCAATGACACTCTATTATTATATGTTGGCTAGGTAATTCCCTAGATGGGATGATTTTTGTTTTCAGATGTCTGATGATAGATATTTATTTCAATAATATCCAGAATTTTCTCAACAATTGAAGTTGAATCATGAAATGAATAGTATCAGACTGAAATAATTCGAATTTGAAAGTTTACGGTGTCGATAATCTTCATTGTTTTCAAGACTAGTTAATGGATTCTGACACCGCACCCAAATTTCATCTTGTTAATATAGCACCCCTAATATAGGGGTTATTTATTGTGCTTATGTGCTCATAGATTATATATTTATCAATTTATGCATGGTCTAGTATATGCGGTTTTCGTTATGTTCGTGTAATTGATTTGTTGATTGTGATCAATATGGATGATATAGGTGGTAGTAGTAGTAGTGATATAGGGATTATTCGATTGTTCATGTTTCTTTCCCAGAAGCATAGACTATAGAAGATAAACTATTCAGTAATCATTGCCAGAAGGTTTCCAATTCAACATTCTCCTCTGGATTCTCTTTCGTTTTTCTGATAATTCTTGTTAAAAAATAGAAATTATTACTATTTTTTAAGCATACTAGCTTGCAAATACATGAAACTAATTGATGTAAAACCGATTTGATGAAAAATCATCAGCATCAGCAGGAAAATTCTCCATTTTTCAAGTAACTGTATCTATATGTTGTTGAGAATGGGATCACATTGGGAAACCCATATTGTGAATAACTACCAGAACCTCGGACCATATGGAAAAGTAAGAAAATCGAATTGTGTCTGATGATACATGATATGTTAATTTTAATAAACATTATGGTAACTTGAAACTCATTCGTTCGATTGATTAACCACTCTGGAAACATTATTTTCAATATTCAAGGTATTTAATGTCCCATAAGGACCTATAGTCGTAGCTCATAAACACATTCTGAGAACGAAAATGAAGTTTCTATGACGTCAAATGATCATTATCGATTATCGATTTGTTGCCCACTTATTCGTACTTCAAGGAACATTCAGAAATAGGATCTACAATAATTATCCATCATGGGAGAATAGGAGTGACTTTCTCCTGATTCTACATTGGAAAAAGAGAAGACACAGTAACAATCGGACAATGTGGTAGTCCTCAAACATCCTCAGCTAATCAACAATCAACTGAGATTCCTGTATCATTAGGAGTGCGTTATGAATTCCACTCAACCTTGAAGTCAATCTGAATAAATATCACTTTCCAGATTTCATTTTCTGAAATTATTGCAAAAATATGGAAGAGTCATCTAATTATGATTTTTTCAGCAATGATCGTCGTTTCAGTATCGGGATAATTGGGGAAAAAAGTGAGTTTAACCATCATACAAAATACATTATTTGAGGTTCTGAGATAGATGATATCGTCTCAATTATTGCATTAAACTTATTGGGAATCAAACTAGACCATAACCTGACGAGGAACCCTATGATAATGTGGTATGAATGGGATATCGTTAATTTCTCACTCACTGGTAATTTCTGGAGAATATTTAGAAAATACTAGTCAGCTGAAGAGTATTCTATTTTTTAGCAATGTTTCAATATTCAACTATCATTCATTTTTAATATGTACGTGAAACTGTTGTATTGACGTTTTCCTATATCATTAACTCTTGGTTAGGTTATAATACACGTTCATACAATGGGTGTCCGAAGGATGTCCAAAATGGACATTACGAATATCCATTGGACATCATATTATGTCCAGAAGGTCATCCAATGGATATCCATCAGATATCCTTGGGCAACGAAATTGGACATCCAGTGGATGTCCTCGTATCTCACGTAATTGACTCTATCTTTGGACTTTCTCTTCGTCCGGCAAATTTCAGAACCCTACCTCAATAATTACGTGAGATACGGGGGTGCTTCCATAAAAAATGCGACAAAATTTCATTTTTCCGAACTGAAATTTTCCACGAAAAATTTGAATAGGTAGTAAATTGGGCGTACTGATTCCAAATCTGAAGTGATTTTCGACCTATTTTGACTCCTAATATCATTTTCCGGAAATTGGGGTAGTTTCGTGGCTGTTGGCGAGCAGTGTATAACACTGAAGATGACCCCACTTGGTCATAGAGTGCATTTTTGGTATATCACTCGCTCCAGCAAATTTCAGGATCCTTACCCAACGATTACGTAAGATACAGGGGTGGTTCCATTAGAAGTGGGTCACACTGTATATCGTGGTATATTTCAATTCGACCGAATGATGTACCAGGGAAGTCCAATAGACGTCCATCATTCATTCCAATCTTCACGTCCAGTAAGGATGAAGACTGAATGTCCAGTAAATGTCCCCAAACGAGTATTCATCGTCCTAGTGATAAATGGACATCCACTGGATGCCCTTTCACTGTCCACGTCCACAGAAAAAAAGTATATTATACAATATATCCTGATTAAAAATCTGTCTCTTGTTGATTGAACTCTATTCTGGATGTACCCGAAAGCAAATTACTCCACTGTATCTTCTTGCAATTTTGTATGAATGTTTGTAACCGGATGGACTTCTTGTAACCTGTTCAGGAAGTCTGTCAAAAGTGTCATCGTTGAGAAGGCTTATTATGATATTCAAGACATCTTGGAAGATGCCTGTATTAAATTCCTCTTTATACAATTTTGTTAATTTGATACATGCTCTTAACGAATTTGGAATGTGGAAGTTGTTTTCAAAAATTGTCAACGGTTCTGATCGTCGGTGAACCTTAAACCTAATTTTTGTGCATATTTTCGACCGCCGGATTATCACGGCTAGGTATATCATGTAATACCGATGGATCATGCATACTGATCATTGTGATTACCTATTCAACATTGAACATACAAATCATTCTGCCTTCAAGAAAATTGACACATCGTATGTGAAAAAGTGTCTTGGCCAACCATTTCATATAAATTGAGAATGGATGATCGAATATGCATCAGTTGAAATCCAACAGTTGACAACAACAAACTATTCATCATTCATCATGTTCAAATTAGTAAGTTCGAATATATCATCTCATAACTATAATTCTTATTCAATCATTTTCATAGTATGCCGCACTAGCTTTTTTGTTTATTCATTCACTCGGAGAAATCCGAAAGCTGAGGAAGTATTATTTTTAATCTGATAACACCGAAAGTAGGCTCTATGTTACTATCAAAAACAACCAAGTTTCACTGGAATTAACAAAAAAACTTCCGTGTAATTAATGAAAAACGATTACACGGGAATCTTGAAATCGAAACAGGTCAGGACCAAATGTTTATATACACTTTTTTCCATAAAATATCACCCCCTGAGTTTGTTCATACTTAGTCATATACGCTCTGTTCATCATTGGTAAATAAGTTCAAAGCTAATTCCATTCTGATCTCTCAAGAAATGATTTTCTATCGGCACTGGGTATAGCTAGGAAAGTACTTGTTTTATGTATAATTGATAGATGTTTTGAAGCTCATGCAAATTTCATTACTTTTTCAGTGCATCTTCGCCGCTATCCTAGCAGTAACCTTCGCAGCTCCAGCTCCTGAAGCTAAAGCTGACCCGAAAGCGGATCCTAAAGCTGATCCCAGCTTATTCGCTGCAGCGTATACTTCTCCAGTTCTTGCTGCTCCAGTAGCATACACCTCAGCCTACTCAGCTCCATTGACGTACGCTAGTTATGTGGCTCCATCTATCTATGCGCCTGGATACACTGCGTACTCTCCATATGCAGCTGGTTATGTGGTAGTTTAAGATTATATGACCTGTTTATTTATGTGATAATAAAATTGTTGAATTGAAACTGTATATTGAGCTCTCTTTCAAATCGATTTGAATTGTAAGTACCCCGCACTTTTTAGGTATTCTCGGTGAAATTCCTTGAATTTCCAGGATGTTGTAGTAGGTAGAGTTCCTAAATGTACTTGACACTGTTGTTTTGTCGTTTTTTGTATATTAGAGTACTGAAACTAGACAAGCAGTGACAATCAAACATAACCACAAACGATTTTGAAGCAAACCATATCTTTTGCCAGACAAGGACAAGAATATGTTTTTCGCTTAGATAAAGGATCCTCGCATCTTCCTTCCTCCACAAGTCCTGGGAAGAGTACATCCATATATCTTTCTCTGTCTTTGATTTTTGCATAATAGTGCATAGCGTCTCCTCGAATGGGTAAAAGGGTACGATAAATTGATCAGAAAATTATTTCTTCTCGAAATACTGAATGTTAAGGCTGAAGGACCTCAATGGAGGTCGATATCAAGTTGGTATGTACATATATACAGACGAAATACATATACTATTCCTATGAAATGAGTCTCTTATATGTAGGTATATATATAAATACGATCAGTTCATTTTTCATCACAAAAATTTAGAATGGGGTTAAAACTGATAAATTTAAACCAATGAATACTTTTATTTCGTATGTAACAATTTCACTAGTACAAGAGTGGTAGGTAATAAGTAATAAATGAACAAATGATATGGCAACAATAACAGCTGATTTCAGTTAGGACAAATAATGATGGTTTTTCAAGACATACGGAAGTAGGTATAAAAAATGGACTTCAGCGCCTCGATTCACCATAGATCGCCGTTCACATTGCTATTTTTTCCTTCTATTTTTGTTTCCTGAATTCCTCACTCTCTTCCACGCGTAAACCTTGAATTTTTGAATATTCCTGCTCTAAGAATTCGATTCTCAAGTATCTTTTTTTCAAAATATGTTCGAAATAAATTTCATTATCTGCAAGTACTTTTCGTTTCTTGTTTGTTCTAAATTGGAATAAGGTTCTTTTCGATACTCGCTCTGTTTATACATTGTGGGTGCGGCTCTTTTTATCAATACGATACTATTCTTCAACATCAAATCTTTGGTTCTGGAGTGTACCTGATAAAACCTGAGCGTGGGAAAAGCAGATATTTTTCATAACCTTATTGATACAGTCAATGAAAACATATATACAGCAGAGGAAGAGGAACACTCCGAATCTGAATCTCCCATCTTCGTGGGAAATGGGTGTAGCTGATTGCCCGACTGCCTTTATTCTAACTACAAAATTGCCAAAATGCTCAAAGTGGAATCAAATGTTAATAATGAAGCAAAAACTCAAAGGCATTTCCACAATAACCCTGGCTATAATAATCTGAACAACAATTCGGCATCGAGGAAAGAAACACTTACAATCAGTAGGTATTCGAATCCTTGTACGTGTAAGTCAATGTTCTAGCCAGAGAAGCAGTTTTTTTTTTCAAGTAATCTATCATTCATTGTTTCTGTTCATTTTGTTGAACACTTGTGGAGATGACTTTCACTTTTACCACTTCGAACATGAAAGATATTTATGAGACATCATACTAGATTCAGAATGAAAAAGCAATTATATAACTTCAAAGACATCACTGATGACCATTTCAGTAGCAAAAAATGTGGTATAGCCGATTGAATGATATGTATATCTGCATAACTTCAAAGTCGCCTTTGAGGAACTTATTAAATTGAATAAAATTAAACATGAAACTGATTTGATTTTCTGCCCAGACATAATATAGATTGCCAAATTTGGATTATCTAGATTCAAGGAAAACATACTCAATGGCAAATATCAACAATGCGAGATCAGATGATAATGATGTGCTGTCTTTCGAGCTAAAAATTACATAAAAGCATAAATCATAAAGTCCAATCAACTTCCTATTCTTTGTGAAGATCTTCGACATTAATAGTTATAATCACATAACTAAAATGGCATTTAGTGATTTATTCAAAAAGTTGAGCACGTTACCATACATACAATTTCTTAAACACATAACAATGGCAACACAGTTTTTTGAACACACCTTCAGTCGTTTCAGTTCTGTGACTTCTGCCCAGTCTGTCAATTGTATAGGAACTGTCATCTGTCATTTTCGAATTTTGTTGCAATCAGGATTATTCAAACTATTTTTTTTAAATATCAGAATTCTTCATTAAAATTGTAATTATGCTAAATGTAGACGAAAGTGAAATCGAAGAGAATATTTTAGATTCTCAGGAGAATTTCCAAGAACTCTGATGTGGAAACATGAAGCTCTCATCTTTGTGGACAATTCAATTTATGCTAAGCATCTCACTGGTAGCAAGTTTAGAATCACTGCAGAAGCAGTATCAATAGTTTCATGGGGTTTTCCTTAGATTTCTTGTTCCATAACCGTTAGACGTTTTCAAAGTTGTTTTCATAAATTTCAGTTTGAGAGAAGCAGTATCAATAGTTTCATGGGGTTTTCCTTAGATTTCTTGTTCCATAACCGTTAGACGTTTTCAAAGTTGTTTTCATAAATTTCAGTTTGAGATTTGCTATCACCATGTTGTCAAGATACCAATTCCACAAACTATATTACTACTAATCAAGACAAAATACTTTGACCTTTTTATTCTTTCTTAATATTTGTGTTTTCGCCACCGTAAAAAATAGTATATACACCTTAGGACAGAATGCTGTTTTTCCCTCGGTGCTTTGTATCTCTCGGGCTTCGCCCTACAAATCGCACATTGGAAAAAATCTTGCATTTCTGTCCCTTGATGTATAATGTACTAATATGGTGCCATTTGAAGAAACAGTTTGCAGTCGCTGACATCAAAGTTGGAATTTGAAAATAATTAGAACCTATTCATAGTATCTGGTGAGTGTTTTCATTTGCTTTTTCGTTTTTGCTATGTTTCGGCCGTTTTTTGTCAATAACATCAAGGAATAAATAAAGTTAAAATATATTTTTTTCTTTCTTTCCACTATAAATATTTATACAACCACAACGGAATCTGCATACGGATGAACTCCAGCTGCATTCACATATGGAGCGACAGCTGCATATCCATACGCAGCATCATAAACAGATGGCGCCCCATAGCCAGAGTACGTTAGAGGAGCTGCATATCCTGGCGAATAGAGAGAAGCCCCATACGTAGAGATGTAGGGGCTCACGTAGCTGGACAGGTATTGGGGCTGTGGCGCAGGTTTCGGTCTAGCAATTGGTGCTGGGGCAGCAGATACTAGGGCCAATGAAATGACCAGAATAGAAGCAACCTGCAATATAACATTATAAAGAATAAAATTCACATTAATACTATAAACTTGAGTGTGAGAGGAATTTTTATTGTTATATTAGTCATATGTGCATATATGATGTATACATGAATCTCTAGTCCTCTACTATCTCAAACAGAATGTTTATCTTCATGATTTCTAGAGGCGATTCAAAGTGAGCGATACGCCCTCTTGCGTATATTCAAGTTACTAATGGAAAGTATATTGAATATTTGTTTCCATTTTATCGAAAGTTTATTGATCATTGTGATATATTTGGAGTTCAAATGCTTCAGTAGAGTATCATTGCATTTTGCAGAAAATGAAAATTTCAACCAGTGTATAACTGAAAGATTTTCTCTTAACTTCGATATTGAATTCTGTTGCATTTAATTTCCAGAAGTGAAAAGTCTCAGTAGGAATTGAAAAAAATGAAATCTTCACTCAACATACAAAATGTTATATTTTTTCTACTAAGTAGATCATTTATTCGCAGACACATCAACCTTTGAGGACTTTTTCTTTGTCATACACATGTATATGAATTAACTACAATAAACTCCTCTCAAATACTTATACTATGTGAACTCCAACATCATATTCACTCCACTATATCTATTTTACTACTGAATGAAAACGAAATGCAAACTAACGTAACCTCAAATTGTGGCATTTTCGATTTACGAATCGAATGTATTCGAAGTAGTGAAACATACTTCATCGGTGACAAATCGGCTGAAAAGCTTCCTCGAACCACAAGAGTACAAAAATGAACTGTAAAAAGTGCGGTTTTCTTTGCTCAAATCAGTATCAAAAGTTTCAAAACAATGTACATACTTTCATATAATTCCACAACCGACCACTTTGTCGCAGCGATCTTAAATTCAGTTGCTTATTTCTACATTAATATCATTCCATAACTTCCATTTTTCAAAACTTAATGAGACTCATTAAATAAATCAGAACAGTTTCATTTGTATTTTATAGGCGCATGCCAAAAGTTTTTTATTACACAGTTTTAAATATTAATTCAGATAAGTGACGCCCCCCATTCTCCATACACTGAGTATACCGATTTCTGACATTTCTTGTGACTTGCCAGAATAGCAGGGGCTAAATTGGCAATTTCTTCCTGGATATTGGTCAAATCTGGTAGGGTCCATGGACGGATCACAATAAAAACGGGATTTCAAGAAGCCCATAGAAATAATCCAGGAAGGAACTGCCAACTTACCACCTGTTGTATTCTGACAATTCATGACAAACGCCAGAAATCGGTTAACTCAGTGTACGGAGAATAGGGGACTCCACCCCTCTGATTCAATCTTCAAAACTATAAAAAACAAACCATAAAACATTAGATATGCACCTACATTATAAAAAACAACGTTGATGTTTTGAAAAAAGGAAGTTATGCTGCCGCACCCTGTACCTCATAGGCGAATAAAGTTCTATTCTAATTTATTCTATTCTGATAAATGGAAGCTTGGTTGTTTTCCTGTGGCCAAGCCTAGTCAGAATCTTTCTGAATATTCAAGAATATGTCAGACAGTTTTCTAAATGGTTCCGAAATGTTCGATAAAACTTTAATATGTTCTAGAGAATTTTGAAGAGTTCTAAAATGCTCTAGAATCTCCCACAATTTCAGACATTGTTCTAGAATAGTCCTGGATGTTCGAGAATGCCCTTGGA